AATATTTTCAACCAATGAATATATATGGTGTATTAATATGTTTTGTTTGATGCACCAATTATTATTTCTTTTGTATATGTTTTACAGATTCTCTAAATTAAAATTTTCTAAGTATCATCACCAAGGTTTGACATGATAATCTAGAATACATTGAGCATTGAGTAGATTGATAATAATATGAATAATATATTTATACTAAAAATATTCTGTTTTGTTTCCATCATACTATTTAAATTTATGTTAATTGGTTTATTTATTCGTACTCTCTGATGAAGCCGCTGACACACAGAAAATCTAGTTTTTTTTTTACTCATTAAGTATTTTATTCCTATTATATAGTTTCTTGTGATCAAGTAAATTTTGTACTCATATTTCATAGTAAAGCTTCAGTTATATTAGTAAAATCCTATCTGATCCATTTCCAACCTTCTTGTGGAATCTAAACAAATAAGTAGTCATAATCATAAGTTTTCAGTAACTACAACTAACATAATAAAATCCCCATCAGGATTATAGAGATATATCTTAACAATGAATTTGAACTATATTCAATAATATTAAAACCCAATTTAAGCGTATCCTTGTAAAATATTTACAAATATGGATTGGTATATTGGATTAATCCATGATTTGAAATGTTTTCACACTGCATATTTGTTTAGTAATAATAATAAGAGTATTATTATTATTATTATTACCATTTAGTCTCTATTATTCTATTTGTTGTTGTAAAACGTTTATTGTAGTTCTGACGTTGTTTAATAAACATGCTGTCATCTTAATTACATAGACAATTGATCTAATCTATGCTTTTTTTTTAAAATGATCAGTGATTGTACGTGCGTATATACGTGAACAAGTATTTGTATAATATAATATGTATTTGTCTGTTTATTTCATTATTCATATTAAGTTTTTTTCTTATTTTTACAATTTACCCTTGATTTCATACCCATTTGATTGATTGAGAGAATTTCTTATTTCTTAAGAAATTTAGAAAGATTATGTTGAAATTAAATAGTGTTTCAATTACTGAGTTCAAATAATTGCAATATCAAAGTCATCTTATTATTTACTTACGCCTGTTACTCCTAATGGAGCATAGGCCGCCGACCAGCATTCTCCAACCCACTCTGTCCTGGGCCTTCTTTTCTAGTTCCATTCAATTCTTGTTCATTTTCTTCATGTCTATCTCCGTTTCCCGGCGTAATGTGTTATTTGGTCTTCCTCTTTTCCTTTGGTCTTGAGGATTCCATGTGAGAGGCTTGTCTTGGGATGCAGTTGGGTGCTTTCCTCAATGTGTGTCCTATCCACTTCCAGCGCTTCCTAATTTCTTTCTCCACTGGGATCTGATTTGTTCTTTCCCACAATTGGTTGTTGCTAATAGTCATCTTATTACGTATCTATAATATATACAATTTCTATGTTAAACTAAATAGAAAAAATTACATATTTTCTTTTATAATGATAATTATTGATAAATAAATAAATTTACATTTGTAGTATGTACGTATGTGTGCGTAGGTGCTCAATTGATTGCATTATAGTTCACTGATTTTTGTTAAATACATACTAAATAGTTTTAATTGTAATAGAGTAATTCAATTTATTAATTGGTTTGCTCTCATTATTATTGTTAACATTTTTTGTTATAGTAACTATGATTTTGTTTCTGATAATTAAACATTGAGTGAGGTTAGTATTTAGTTCCAATGATGTGAATGACTGACTCTTCTTAACTGATTCTAGAGTTGGTGAGTGGTGACTCATTGGTTAAAGCGTTCAATCTTCAAACACTGAGTCTTTGGTTCGAACCTTGCTTCACCTATTTCAGTTTTAACAATCGGGTAGTGTTACTGCTCTTCACACTTAAATTGTAGATGAAAACCAAGTAAAGGAATCCATATTCCTCAAGATTTAATAAGAAACTATTGCTTAAAATATTAGAGTTTATACTATCTGTTTTAGTGATCCAAAGCATGGTTTACAGCTTAATTCATAAACGTATTTCACCGATTTGTCTATTATAGAAATACATGTTAATTTCATTTACCTTCTTAGTGTACCTAAATTTTGATATTTACTCCTAATATCGTATACAACATATATTCAGTTACTACTGTCATTACACTCTTTCATGCTTTAGCTTTTTTGTTGAGAGTAAATCTAGAAATGATCTGATTGTGAATCGAAACTGATTTGGAGATGAATAAAACAATAAAAGAAACATTTCTTTGTTGTACTTCATAGTATTCAATAAGTGTTACACATGAATTCGCATGTTGTTTTCTATGTCATAAGTGCATTTCATATTACTATATGGTTCCACGACATAATTATTGGGGATGTGAAAAAAAATATACTACTGGAATGTGGCTTAGTCATGTGCTACTCAGTGTTTCAAACATGTTTTGGTAAATAATGTAATTCCTTTATGTTCAACACTCTAAATGGGTGAGGTTTCTCAATTAGTTACAAATAAATGATTAGATATTCCAAGTAAATATATCAATGAAGTCTTACAGCATAAATTTTACTATTTATTATACTGTCTCAACTAACAGATAGAATGAATATGTAACAATAATGTATTCTAATATGGTAATTCTTTAACTACTTTCAGATCAAAATAAGTATATCTTGAAAAATTCAATTTTGTTTGTATGTAAATTGCCTGTTTTTTTTTCTAATTTCAATATAAGATAATATTTACACGGATTTTATTGAAATAAAAATTTATGCTGAATACTTTAAGTAAAAATAAAATGAGATTTCTTTCGTGAACTGCTTTGTAGTTGCTGTTGCAGTAGCAGTATTTTTTCTTCATATCTAAAAGTGTGTTTTCCCCTTTTCCCACTTTATATAATAATAACAATAATAATAATTTTGTTACTAATATTGCTATTACAACTATTGTGATAACCTTTAATCATAAATTTGCATTAATTAACGTGCTAATATAAGTCCTATTAAATTGTATTCACAAAAGAGTTTGCATACAAATGGTTATTATTTTCGAATCAATCTGGATCATCTTTTTTGTTAACATTCAGTTATTTACATGTAACATTTTTCTAATCCCATTCTTTTATATGTCGTAAAGCATAAGTTATGCTATCTTATCGAAATGATTATGATTATTATGTTGCTTATTCTGTTGTACTTTCTTGTTTAACTGTAAAATGTGTTGATTGAATTCCATTAAGGCTCTTTGATATTGAGCAACAAGATTACTTCTATCCTCTTTTTTCCTCCCGTTAACTAAAATGAGAAGTCCAAGTTGCATATGAGTTTTCTCTTGCTAGAGTAACGAAAGAATAACGTTTTTATGAAATGAAATGGCATGCTCATATGAAATATGAAGATAAGATAAATATGATACTATGTCACAGATGATTGGAGGAAATTAGTTGGTAAGTCTTTCACTATTTAATGAAGATCTAATTGTTAGTCTTGGTTCTTGAAATTCGAATCACCCCTTGAGTGCTCATGACTAATCATAGGAGCTTTTTATTGAAACTGACTAATTCAAGTAATTCCCTTTATGTCTATCTAATTTACCGTTTTTATTTAATTTCATAATGTATATCCTGCAAACAATAATTTCACTTTTGTTTGAATCATATTTTGATCCGTCGGCATAGCATTCTTGATAGTATGAGTATAATGTCTAATAAAAACAAAGGCAGGTTAACTAAAAAATGATATCAACCCTTTAAACCATTGACTGTTGGTCATAGACATGTTAAAAAGATACAGGCTATCTCCTTTGAGCCTGTTAGATAATCCTAATTTGTAGTTAGTGATCTTAAACATTATAACTAACATGGATGTCACTGAGACAAATTCATTCGTTCTTTTTGAATCTGTTTGAATATAACACTACTGTTTATTTTGTATTTTCAAGTCCCTTACTACCTCTGCTTGATATGCTAATTTCTTTATTTTAATAAATAATATTTTATGACCTTGATTTTCGTCTTGTTAATTTCTTTTCATTATATTGTTACATTATGGTGTAGCAACACGCTTATATCAGGTTCTAATGTTCCATAACTAAACGACTGGATTTAACAGTTTATTCTGCAGTCTTAGAATTATTCAAGTTACTGTGATTTTCATGGAACTCTAACATTGTCATTGTAGATGCATTACTAGATATATGTAGTCCAGTGTTTTTAAAAAAATGTCGATCATATTTATCTGATAGTTTATTATAGTTATCGAATAACAGTTCTATTTTACCAAATGATATGATTCATAAATCCGACCATGATGCTAAAGCTCTCTCAAAATGAAATACGATACTTTTTAACTCGTTGTGCATTTAATCGCCGGCAAATATAGTCACATTGTTTACATTAAGTTTTCAAGTTCTTTCTAAGCATTTCACTGCATTGTGAATCAGGTTAAGTTAGGACTGTAAACTCTTTTACTTATTATAATTGTTATTTGTTTTCCATAAAGCTTTGAAGGTCTTAGATTTGATCTCATATCAGATCATAGGTGTGCAACACTAGTTGCGAATTCGGAATTTGATTGTAATAGATGTCTAATTCACCTTAATGTTAGGTAGTTGACAAGGTACTCTGGACTTAGATTTCGTGCTCTTTAGCACTCGTCAGCAAGATATACTTGTAATTTCGAAAGAACTGGTGCTGCTACCTGGATGATTCAATTCTGCATCACCCAGTCACACAGTCAGAGACGTTAGTGCTGAGCTATTCGTACCGCTATTGACCTGTAGTGCACGCTTATATAGGGTCACTGAGACCAGTGGCCACATCACAACTCAGTCAATAGAGTTCAATTAGCTCTAAAGGACTATATATAGGCAGTAGTCAGTCATTATATAATGCATGCTCATAAATGTTATTTTTAGCATATTTAACTAAGTTCTTAATGGTTTATTCTTGAATTGACAATCTTTTACATTGTTGTCCTGCATAATCACAATTCTTTCGATGTATATTTTCTCTCTCATTACTTGTTTCATCTAGTCGATACAATAGATTCCATGGTACAAACAGAAAACAGTTGCTTTTTCAATTCAATACTTACTCCGTCTGTCAGATTATCTGCTTTAAATATGGTGAATAATGCTTTACAAAGAATAGGAGTAAGTTTGAAAGTCTACGATAAGCAACAACAATATTAATTAATCTACAATTTCACTATTTGCGTGTATACGTTCGTTTGTGTGCCTGCGTATCTTTCTTTAGCTACGGATTCCGACATACAGGTGTATATACTTTAAATTTTGTTGTTGTAAAAGTAAAATAGAATAAATATTGTTGTTGTTTATCAAATTACATTCTGTTGGAACAAATTGATTTTAATAACCATAAAGCACCGAACAGCTGTTTAATCCTGTTTATGCTATTCTACAGCAGTGTGCATCTATGACCCCACCATCGCGGATCAAACCCAAGACTTTCAATCTTGCACTCTAACGCTTAACTTTCAGACTACTGAGCCGAAATCAAATAGTGTTTATATCTGACTTCAACCATTTCACGATATTGTGCTATCATCTATTGTCTGTGGTTATTAGTAACATTCTGTAATCTCTGCAAACCTCTATACTGATAATTTTAATGATTTGTTTTGATATTCGTTTCTTTTTTATTCTCTATAGCAATTAGAAATGAAATTATCTATATTGTATAAGACGTACGGTCATCCTCCACTTCCTGCGCCAGTATATAATGGTAATAGTAGCAGTAATAACGGTAATATACACTCTCCACCAACTGATTTCGAATTGAAAAGATACAATTTAAAGTCACCACAAAGATTATCTAATCCAAGTTGGACAAATGGTCCTATTAAATTGTAAGTAATGTTCATTGATTGGTTAATATATGCATTTTTAATTATTACTTTTTCGTTGGTTTACGCAAACTGAGAGATATTTTACATTATTCATTGTTGTTACGAACGTTTTCACAGTAATGTACTGGAGGTAATCGAATGACTTTCTGTTGAAAACGTTCTTATTTGATTCAATTGGTTTCTCTGACCAGTTTGAATAAAGCTAAAACAACATTTGATACAGAATATTATGAATTCATTTTATTTGACGGTAAAGCATCATCTGCTTATATATATATATATAGTTATGATGGATGATCTTTGTAATTCTTTCCATCATCAATGTCGATTACTTCATATTATAACATATCTCAATGCTACACTTTAATACAAATATGGTTATAAGCAGCTGATGATGAACCACTAAACATTATTCTTCAATCCGATAATTAGATTTTTATTTCCTTCTTATGCTCATAGCAAATTACAATGTTCGGTCTTTATTGTAAATATCTTTTTATAATTCAATGAACCACAAATATTTAGTGTTTCTTTACACTATTAACTTCATACTTTTGTTTGTATCATATTTTCGTATTTTAATAGTTGAATTCATGAGTCAATTTTCGTATCATTATTGATTATAGGGTTTACATCTATATTTTTGAATGAAATGAAAGTGCAAACTTTTCTTCAGTATTAATTTTAGATATAAAATAACCCTGTTGCAGGCTTATACTTAAATAATATTCAGGCAACAATCATATTTAATACGGATATGATATTGATAATCAAATTTATCGTGTCAGTCAGGTCATTGTAATCTATGACAGGGTTTCTATCCATAGGGTTTAATCTTTTTTTCTTACTACTTTCTCTTAGGACTTGATATCTTGGTAAACGTCTTCAGTAAAATGTCTGGGAGCTTTTTTTTGGAGGATAGGTTATTAACCCATTTTACTTGGTAATTTATTAAACCTTATTTTAATGTATCTCTAGATTAGTTCAGTACATATTCTTAAACTTGATCGTTGCGTAGCAAACATGATAATTACATAAAATACGAAGGCTCATATGAGATGTATTGGGAATAATATATTTCATGTATATAGATTCATTAGACCAAACGGTAAAGGCGAAAAAACGATGATATTTGGCTTCTGACTTGTCTGTCAGATCAGGCATGGGCGGTGTGGTGGCTTTATTTGTAGAGTCATTTAGTACGCTAACTAGGCCCATAAAAAATTCACATATGTATGGAAAAGGTACATTGATAAACGTTAATAATTAACCTTGTGGGTACTTACTAACTAGCTAATGAGATTAAAATAAATCTGCCCCGTAATTTGTACACTTTTTAATCTGTTGACATAATGATAGATTTATGTAGGGGTGTCATAAAAGTGGTTATTACATTCGGATCTAAGATGTAATATTTGAGAAACTATGTTTTGAGTTTTTTATTGACTCACTCCCTCTCAATAACGAACCATTTTCATACTTTACCCTTTGTACTCCAAATCTGTCACCCAATAATTTTAAAAATGATATGATCAGTTGTTATTATTTTAAGATGAATATAAAAGCCTATAGTTTGTGTAGTGATCACCGTTTCAACAACAATGGGTTCTAGTAGTCATGCCATCACTATTTTGGATTCAAGTCCGAATGTCATTATAGCCAAAGATATTTTTCGCTCAGCTTGCGAGATCATTAGATATTTGATCAAAATTGCATGAACATAGGCATGTTCAATCAATCCCTATTTGTTTAATATTTATGTTCATACTCTCAGGATTTATCGTCATGACTGGAGAAAAAATATACTTGTGATATTTCTCGATTCTCTTTATGTTCAGAGGTGTAATAACTTAATGCAGCTCGAAGTAACCCCCACGTTGCCAAATTATCTAAATGTATCGTAATCAGTAATTACGGTTATGCTTTCGTTTATTTAGTCACTCAGTTGTAGATATTCTGTAAAAATTTTTGTTATAAAATTCATTTGAGGTAAAACTGTTGCCATATTGTAACTTTTCTCCCATCACGACTGACTGCCCTACACTTGACGCGTCCGTAACATGATAAAATGGTATTTTCGTCGTATAATATTTTACATTTTTCATGTAAGCTAGCTTTCAATCAACTGAATTCCATTCAAACATTTTTGTTATCGTTATAATTCTGTCCTAACAGGTGACATTATTCTTATAAACAACTGGTTAGATGTTATATGATTCATTTACATTATAAAATATCAGATGGGTTTCGTGGAGATTGTAGTAGTGTAAAATGGTTAAGATCATGAGTCAGGTGAAGCTAGACCACCATAGAAAAAGGTTTCCAGATTTTTTCCACTTTGTTTGTCCATATTTTGCTTTAATTTACAGTCTTGATCTTACAAATAGCCTTGTATGTATGTGAAAGACTGTCAAGTCGCTAATAACCCACGTATTACAAACAAAAATCTGGGCATGTATTGAAGTATTGCATGAAGGTGTATTTTCTGCATTAAACTACACTTGGCTCATTATTCTGAATACATAAATAAACTTATTCAGAAGCATTTCTATTACCTTAATCGATAAAACTAAATTATGCCGTCACTTTCCATATTCAAGACTTAAGTCTTGTTTTTCTTAAAGTGACGATAAGAGTACGCTGTCATATTAGGTTTTTTCACTGGAATACTCTTATTAAATATTTTATTCATTTCATTATAAGCTTATCTATAGTAGTTTTTTCTTAATTTAAGTGCTTGACAGTTACTTCATTCACTTTCATAACTCGTCTTGTGATTAAATCAAATAACGAATGTGTTTTCTTTCGAATCGATTTTATTTTACGAAGTAAAGTGTTGACTTGTGATGTGACTCTAGCGGGTTATGTACATCACAATAATCAGCATAAACTATTCAGTTCAAGAAGTTAATACATCTTACCTTAAAAATCAATGCTAAAGATCAGTATATATACAGTATACAGTCTATAGACGCTTGTTATTTTGTGAGCAGTGATTGTAGGATTTCATATTAGTTAGGTTTGTTAATCTTTAATTTGTACATTTAGGTCTGGAATTTTCATCAAACTTCTATGGTTATATCTTTTTTCTTTAACTACTTGATAGGTCGTTTATTTAAAGATTACTTGGTAACATTTATGTTACATGGCACTTTACTCTGCATTACTTTATAGTTATTGCGTATAACACCTAATAATTTTCTGATCATTCATACATTACTTACAATTGATTGATCACTGAGTAGTAACTACTGTCATATATCTCAAGTCTTTTTTAGTGCTCCTCAGTCCTCCTTAGTGATATTCATCACCATTCCGTGGCAAATCTATTGTAAATACATATTAGTCTCACAAGAGGTCATTCATTGCCCGGATAGCTCGGTACTAACGTATCCAACTGCAAAGTTGGATTCAAATTCGGCAAGGAGAACCAGTTCCCACAATAATTCAGGTACACTTTGCTGACGAGTACCAAATAGCACAAAACTAGGGTTTCCCGTCGAATACCTCTAATCGCCACCTTACAAAGTTTTACTTATACATATTCGAACTAAGGAGTTGGTTATTTCGAGACTCATTTTAGTGTATTAAGTTAAGAAAGTGAGTGAGCTACTGAGTTAGTGAACTCTCTTAGATTAAAATGTTTGTAGTGATATTTTAATCTATCGACTCATTGTCCTCGTTGATCTACTTTACTTTTCTTGAAGTATATGCATAGATCATAAGAAAATTCAGTTTTATCGCAGGTACACATGTTTCTAGTTTGTAAATCTACTTGTAACTATGTAGGAATTTGTAGGACACTGATCTTGTTAACTATTTTGAAATTTTAGATGATTATATAGATTTCCTTCGTGTCACACCTTGCACTGCTTTTTTGAGCCTTCTTGGGTGCTACTCGATAGTTGATTACACTTGATTTATCATTCATTGTTCGTATTATTTTTGTCTCGTGCAATTGTGTAACAATATATGAAGTTTTAACTAATAGACTATGGATTTCGAAACTTCTTAACGTTCAGTACTACTACTACTACTTTGAATCCTAAAGTACATTAAGTACCGATCGCTAATAGACTCATGAAATAATAATTCGTAGTCGATTGGTTAGACTATCACTGGTTCATAGTGTTAAGCTGTTGATTTGTCACAGGTCATTGTTGGATCATAATGTTTAACTATCAAAATTCAATCCCTCTCATATATAATTTTTTATTCTAGTAATACTTGAAACTCACTGTCCCTTTTTAAATATAACTGACAATTTCTTGTTTATTGTTGTTGAACTTTGTATATTTTAATGTTATTATGATTACTGATAATTAAAATTACTATTGAGGGAAATTTATATAATAGATCATCTTAGACAATTTATTGTTATTGTTCCCTTTTTTTTCTCTTCTTTATCTTCAGAGATCCTCTTCCAACTGCAGAAAAATCATCTCGGGAAAATTCTATACACTTTGTTCATTGAAATTGATTTATATTGTAAAGTATACTGAAAAGAAGTCAATTCATTTTATCTTTCTATACATCTTACCCCTATTATATAACGAAATATTATTTATGTAAAGTCTGTGTTTCTTATTGTATTTGTGAATAATCTTTATTTTGGATTAAGAAAAACGGTGCATTTCATCAATTTTCCACGTTTAACTCAGAATCTCATTATTATTGTACAATTTGTGAAGTGTTCTCCTAAGAAGATAAATTTTTTTAACACTGAAATACTCTAATTATCACACTTATAAGATTCTACTTATTCTGATAAATCTTATACAAAGTAATCTTTCTCTTTTTGCATGAACCATGGTGCTCACAATTACCGTTCAGCTTTCATTCTGTTCCAGCTACTCCTCTTTGTTCTCTTTCTACTGCTTTGTAAAATTATCTTATGTAATGCATTATACTGAAGTCTATGGTACTTACTATCTCTCTCTCTATCTATCTGTTCATGTATCTGTTTGTTCTATTCAGTCTTTTTTTTTCAAAAACACTACAAGGAGGCATTTTCCACTTAATACATGTATGTGTGTGTGTATGTATAATACCAGTTAAGTCACTTGTTAACGAATAAGAGGATAACTGTGATTTTCATATAAATTATTTTCATTCTCATCTGTATTTATCACATCATATAATGATATTCATTAGTTTTATTGCACTAACACGTATATTGTAACTGATGAAAAGAAGCGGGCGTAATATATATTCATTATTTTATTTCTGTCATTCATCTTATCCCTTGTATAGTTTGTCTTTTTTTTCTAATGTTTACTCTTTTTCTGGTCATATATATTTCATGCCCTCCCTTCTTTTTTTTAAAGTTAATCCTTTAGTTTCTATCACCTATTTTCTACTTCCTGTAACTATCAAGTCGGAATTCATTTTACCGCCAAAACATATTCACATTATCATTATTATCACTTGTTTCTTTATTTAAAATATATTTCTTATCATTTTTTTTTAAAATTTCTTTTCGTCTACAATTGTACAATCCATTATTGATAAAATGTTAATTTTTTTCTTCCAAAATGTATATTTATGGTAATTGAGTTGTACCTATTCGAAAATGATCCAACATGACAGTCATTTTGAATAGAAAGGCTAAGTAATTCATAAGTAAAATGTACATTAATAGATGTTATGATAATGACTAAAATGGTATACAATACAATGTTTTTATCACTGTTTATTGTTATTATTTTTATTGGGATACAATAGTAGAGTAGTAGGTTTTCTGTTTTGCTTGCTGGTTTTTTCTCTAGTCTATTATATATACTCTCATGTTAACAGATTAGTAACCACGCTTAGTTCAAGTGGAAAGAGGGTTGATCATGTTTTAGTTGATCACAGTTATCTACGTCGTATACTATATACGTAGAATCACTTCGTGTATTTTCGCACGATTATGCTTAACGTATCACTAATGTCAGTAATTTTCTTTTTTGAAAATAAGAACTTCTAAATTTCAATATATTAAAACATTATCAATACAAAATTATCATGCAATTGGTTCCCTTTATGAATTTAAATAAAGCAAGAACAAATAATGGTGCAGAATAGTATGAATTCATATTATTTCGAGGTTTCTCGTCAGCTGCTTACAAACCAAAATTGTGATAAAATTTTTACATTGAGATATAGTGAAAACAATTGACATAGATGAGTGTAAATAACTGGGTTACAATAATAATTGTAAATAAATAAATATATATATATATATGCTAGAACAGGTCAGAGGTCAAAAGGAATTAATTCGGGTTGGGTGGTGTAATAATGGAATTGAATAATTATAAGATAGGTTACATAATAGTAATAAAATAGAATTTGCAAAGTTAAGATAATTTAAGAGGATCAAGTGGCGGAAATGTGAATGATAATGTGGTTTAAGAATTATGTAATAGGGGAGGAGTATAAATAAATAAATAATAAAATAAAAAGGGGTTACCAGGGTAGTGATAAGTTAATTAAAGTCTCTTTTTGGATGCATAAGTCAGGTTTGAGTTTTTTGATCATGATGGCTTCAGCAAAACGGAGGGTGGTCGTACTTCTTTGTCTATTGATCAATGTGTAACTCACTAACCGGATGTGTATTTTTACTTGCAGTCTTGATCAAGCAAGCTAATTTAGTTTTAGTAGCTTCTCTTAGAAGTGTTCACTTTAGAATGAATGGATGCGTTACATAGTTTACTATATATCTTTACATGATTGTCAAATTACATTTTAATCAGTAGTTATAAAAGAAACTTAAAACAATGTAGATATAGTCTTATTATTAGTTCATTGACTACATTTATTGATTTTGACTTATTTAAAAGGTTAAGAATTTAGAGTTAATAGTCATACATTATTCCGTTCGAACGATAATTTTACTCATTTTCACCATTGAATATCAAGCAAATGGCACGGTTTAAACGTTAGGTCCTTCTGAAATGTGTCCGCCCTTTCGTTTCAGCGACCTTGAACGGCTTGATTAGAGGCGGTCATTCCGTATTTCAATTGCCGTGGGTTGGTTGGTTTGCATGAGTATCAATTTTTTTCATATATAAGTCATCCTATGCTACATAAAAAGCACGAAATAAATAGCAAAACCATTAATTTAGCGTTCTCTGTTTTGTAGTGTGCACTTTGGCTCTGTTGTTGCTTTGTAATTTGATCTTTGATCCCAACAATTGTAGTAAAGCTAAACGAAATGTCAAGTCACAGGTAAATCTCAAGTATTTGTAGTATTTCCTTGGGTTATTATTGTTGCAAGGAATAACTGTTTAATAATTAGTAATGTCTGTTTTTAGTGCTTCATCCTCAAGTGACATTTCAGTCGACTTAACCGATGCCTTTCGAAGTATGATACTGAACAAGCGTTTCGTGTTGTGGGATGATTTTGAAAGCGCCTTAAAAGAGTTCCAAAAAGTATGGAACTATAATTTTATCGCTTCTCAGACTACTTATACTCGTTACATCCACACAGAAAGCAGATTGCTGAAGGATGTCAGGTTCAAATACCTGTTTGTATCGTTTAATTGTACGTTTGGTCACAAACGGAAATCGGAAGGTTTGAAAGTGAGGCAAAAATCGTAAGATCTTTAACTAATATCTTATGTTTAAGGTCTAAATTCCGTAATTGTCAATCTAAATTCCGTGTAAGACTAGAAGAGCAAGGATATGTAATCAAATCCTACAAGATGATACACAATCATCCATGTAGTAGTTCATGGATGGTATGTGATCCATGGACAAGGAGATTATCGTCAGAAGAAAAAGAGAACTCGAAGCCCGTAATACTTCACTGTGAGTCAGCAGACGAAGTTATCGAAAGTAAAAGAAGAAATCTTACAGGTAAGCTATATCAATTATGAAATACTAACTGCATAGCTCATCAACTTCTTAGGTATTGTAGCAGATGGAAGTTACACAATACCCAGAACTTCCAAAATTATACATTACCTGCATTACCACGACGGAGTGAAGTGTATGTAAGTATTCAACGAAGCCAAAGAATCCATAAACATCGCATCATTGAGAAGTATGGTGAACGTTTTGCAACGGAAGTTGAGAAGAAAGTGGACAATTATTACTTAAGAATTCTTAATACCAACTTGTAAACTTGATTTTCTGCTTTTGCAGCAATGATTCTTCAATAAACTTTCATAATTTCAATTTTCATCTTATTCCTACTTTTATGGGAATGAATAGCAATGATGTTCATGTGTAGCTGTTTGTAATAATTAAGATTGATTAAGAAACCCTACATCCGCGTACAGTTTTGCAGATTAGGCACCCACATATCATATTCACCTTCGTGGGATTACGTTTATCATTAAAATCGTATCAGGACCTATGTACATTTTAAGTTCATGTGATTAATTCCGCTTATGAATCAAAATAAAACCAGGAGAAATGTTGATTAACAGTGGTATGCATTCATTACAACTAAATATGCAATAGGATTTAACAGTGATGTGGGAAACAGTTGACATACCTGAATATGAATAAATGAAATGACGTAGGTTATCAATAGTGACTATATATATATATATATATATATATATATATATATATATATATATATATATATATGCAGTGTAAGGTCAAAGGTCATTTGCTTTTACAGTCAATAACACATTAAGAATGGGTGATATAATAGTTGACTGCAGTTCACAGACAGATAAGTGGTGTGAAATTCTTATAGCTTGTAAATGATCCGTGGATTTAAGAACTGAAAACTTGAGTTACGTCATAATTGATTACAATTTGCAGAGGTCACGTAATTACAGAGGATTAAGTGACAGGGTGATGGAAAAAATGCGTAACTAAATTTTAAAAGTGAAATAAATTATTACATAATCCTTCTTATTACTTGTTCATTCCATGGATTATAAGGAGTTCATATTATTCTCTATCTATATTTGTTCTAGCGTCATATCGACTATTAATAAATACTGACACGGTTTATAACGTAAGACACTAAGTGTAGTTGCTATATTTATATTTCACTAATTCATTTGTTGAATAAAAATGATTTTAATATAGTCTTCCATAATCACAAATTCTATAAGTTGTAGACCGGCGTAAACATCATCACAAAGCTTTGACGACTTCATTTGATTCATACAATTCTGAAAAACAAACAAATCAGTCGTAAAATAAAGAATTAGACCTAGTTATCAATATCACATTTAATAAGTCAATCAAATAGCAGGTTACAGAATGTACTTATAAGTCTCTTATTTGCAGACAGCGCTAATCATTAGAGATTTCTATTTCCTTTAATAAAAATTAATAGGTAATCTTTACAACACACAAATCAGTGTTATTTAAAAATTGCTGAAATCAGGTTCGTCACAACATAGAAGCGTGGTCGGATTTATGAATAAAATGTAATTCAATAATGTGGCATAAAGGCGATATGAATACAAGGAACTTGTGATTCTGCTTCCATTGCTCATTCACTTTTCGTCACGTTGTCTGCAT